ATACAAATATAAAATTAGTTTCATTACTTTTGTTTTTTCCCCAACTTCTTTAATTTAATTAATATCTTATAGTATTTTATATATATATATGTGATGATGTTCCAACTATCAATGTGCACTCTGATGAGCCCAAGTCCAACAAACCAAATGCTCGGAACAAGGATAAAAACAATGTACATGGATCAGACATGACAGAGCTATGCAATGCAAGTGGAGATATAATTGTAGATCAAGTGTATGAGACTGAGGATATAAAAACGAAGTTGGGTCTTGATGCTATGACGAAAAATTATGAGTTCAAAGTGAAGAGATCCAATAAAGAAAGATTTGAAGTTAGTTGTGTTGATGATCGATGCATGTTGAAACTGCGTGCATCCAAGTTACGAAAATCCTCATATTTCATGGTGAAAAAATATTTTACAAAACACTCGTGCTCATTGGATGCTATCCATCGCCATCATCGACAGGCAAGTAGTTCTCTTATTGGCCAATGCATAAAATCTAAGTACGAGAGTGTATCACGAGTACATAGACCCCATGACATCATGGAGGATATGCGAAAGGACATGGGTGTGAGTATAAGTTATGTGAAGGCTTGGAGAGCCAGGGAACATGCACTGGAGTTGGTTAGGGGATCGCCAGAGGAATCTTATGCGATGCTTCCATCATATTGTGCTATGTTAGAAGCCAAAAATCCTGGTACTATAACTCATATTGAAACTGACAGTAATAATCATTTTATGTATTTTTTCATGTCACTTGGACCTTGCATCAGAGGATTTCGCACTGTTATCAGGGCAGTAATTGCACTTGACAGAACACTTTTAAAAGGTAAATATCATGGGACATTGTTTGTTGCCACATGCAAGGACGGAAATAACCAAACATACCCTGTTGCATTCGGAGTTGGAGATTCAGAGAATGATGCATCTTGGAATTGGTTTTTGACAAAATTACGAGGAGCTATTAGGGATATTAATGACTTAGTTTTCATTTCTGATAGACATGAAAGCAGGGGCGGAACTAGGTAGAGGGCTACCATGGGCTTTAGCCTAGGTAGCTTTTTTATCAAATTAAAATATATTACATGTATTTTAATGTTATTCATCCCATAAAAACTTAGTAGCTCACTCAAATGTAGCCTTGTAACTCATTGTCCACTCAATTTTGTAGGCCTATAATCATCTTATATTTAATTTGTTTGCTCAATTAGGAAACATAATCTCTTAATAAACGTACTCATGATTTTAACTCTCAACCTTTTACTATTTTATCCCAATGTATACTTTTATTTCTAGAAAAACTAGAGAAACAGTAAGTACCCAAACAAAACTTGGTCCTTAGATTTTAAGCTAATAACTTTAGCTAGCCCACCCATTGAAAAATTCCTAGTTCCGCCCTTGCATGAAAGCATTCGTAAGGCTATCTCCACTATATTTCCGGAAGCTCATCATTGGGCATGCATATTCCATATAAGTTAGAATCTTAAGAACCATTTTAAGCATGAGAAAGCGCATTCACTGTATTTTAGAGCTACTAAAGCATATCTTGTTCATGAATTTGATCGTCTTATGGTGCAAATATTTAATGTTGATTCCAAAGTGGGTGATTATCTTAATGCGGCTGGATATGAAAAGTGGGCTCGTGCACACTTTAATGGGAAGCAGTACAACCTAATGACAACAAATATTGTTGAATGTCTCAACTCAATCACCAGAGATGCTCGTAAACTACCTATTACCAATTTTATGGAGTATTTAAGAATGAATATACTTCAAAAGTGGTTCCATGAATGTCAAACTGAGGTAGCCAAAATGGATTCACATTTGACAGAGTGGGCAGACAATTTGGTGCAAGAAAACAAGAAGAAAGGGTTGTCATTGCAGGTATTTCAAATTCATTAAATTTTATTTTGTTGCAAGTTAAGGAATATATGCAGACATTTGATAGAGTGGGCAGACATTTTATTTTGTAGTTTTTGCTGATATTTTTATTTGTTATTTTATTTAAGGAATACATGCATGATAATATTCTACAGATCTTTTGAAGATATTTCAAATAAAATAATTGCGGAGTATTATAAATATATTTCTTGTTTCTTAAATATGCAGGTTTCTCCCATTGAGGTTTACTCATTTCATGTATATGATGGATGTCGTGTTGAAGTTGTAAATTTAGAGAGGAAGTGTTGCACATGCCGAGAGTTTGATCTTGACCAACTACCATGTGCACATGCTTGTGCTGCATGTAGGCATCGACAAATTTCATGTTACCCAATGTGTACACAATATTATACTACAAACTCATTAATTGGTCATTGTGTATGCAAAACCTATTTGGCCAGTTGGGGATCAGACAGATTGGGTGGTACCTAATGACGTACGAAATAGAATTGTCCTATCACCAATTACACGAAAAAGGTACGGCAGGCGCAAGGAAAAGAGAATCCCATCACGCGGAGAAGAGGCATCAACTCGTAAGTGTTCAAGATGTGGTTCAACTGGTCATTATCAACAAACTTGCAAGAATCCGATTGCACTTCATCCTACCTCGTAGATAGGTGTAATATTTTACTATTTAAATTTATGAATTAGTATGAACAATGGATGAATATTTAATTTTATAATTTTCTTAAACTTTCTGGTGTAAACTTTTGAAGATGAGGAATAAAGCATGCTTTCCCTCACAATTTTTGTAGATTTGAGATGATATATAGTAGCGATGCAACGCTTTTGGTTTGGCCCATGTGAGGTTAAAGTCTTTGCACATAGATTCAATACTTTGATAACATATCTTTTCATTTATCCTATCTCGACGTCTCTGCACATAGATTCAATACTTAGCCATTTTCAAGAGAAATAACGTCATCTGAGAAGGAAGGTGAACAACATGTTTTATCAGCGAAGCTATAGTTCAAGCTAAAGTACAGACCCTCTCTCAGAGAGATTGTGGACCTCGACAGCACGGGATGTCTTTGTAGATGTTGATCCACAGACTTGTTTTTTTCCATTAGCATATTCAAACTCAACATCCTGTTTAAAATCATTAGAGAAAAGAACAATTACTTCTAATATCCAATAGTGAATTGCAGTAAGTACAGGAAATATCATATTCTTCATGGTCCCTACTGCTGAAAGGTCCAATAGCAAACTGCTAACTTGTACATGAGCTTTCTTTTTAAGTTTACATGGGTTTTAATTTTTAAGGGCATTTGTGTCTATTTATGTGAGTTTTTGGCTATATTTAAAAGATTTTATAAAAACTGACATTTTTAAAAGTAAGGGGTAAATTTTGGCTGTTTTTGATAAAAACTCTTTTATGAAAGTGTCCTTATAAAGTCATTTTTTAGTAATAATAGTGAGTCTCATGTACATATTATATGGGAGCATTTTTTCTCACCACTTTAACCAGATGTACATCCTCACCACCCAGCCCATGACTTGACATATGTCCATACCTATAACCTTGGTTAACTATTTATTTTCAAATCTTTTAAAGTATTTAAAACTAAAAAATAAAACAAAATAATAACAAATAATATTTAAAAACAAAGAAAAAAAGTATATGTCTCCTTCTCTCATTCCCACTTCTCGACCTCTAGTGAGAAATGAGAGAGTGGAAGGATGGTTTCAGGATGCCGAGAATCTACAAATTCCAAGCACTTCAACAGCTCAAATCTAAAGGATATTCCACATCCGAAGTCTGAAAGGCAATGACGGTTACGAAAGAAGCCACTATGTCCGACGACGTCACTAGGGTTAGGGTTTCTCGGCTTGTTGAAGAACAGAGATGACAATGATGAAACTACCGGTAAATTAGAAACTGTGACGAACATGTCTTTTTTCCTTTTCCATTTAATCTTTTTGATTGCTGAGGGTGAACAAGGTGAAGGAGAGAATGGTGGCTAGGGTTGTTGAGGGAAGTGGCTTTAGAAAATGAGATTTTCTATTTAAACCCCGCACTTCTCTTTGTTCACCACAATACTTAAATCATTAAGCTGTAAGTTTTATTATTGTGTAAAAAGACAAAAAAGGTCATCCAATTTAATAATTCTTCAAATTTCATTCCTTTTTTCCACCTCCACCTTATTATCCCCTACCTTCCCCAACCACAACCTCCTTCCAACTTCTTGCGTACAAACTTACTCTCTCTCTCTCTCTCTCTCAAGTTCTCAACTCAACAATACCCAAGTGTTGGAATTCTAGTTACAATTCTTGGAGAGAGGTAAAGCTGTTCTCTTTCTCTAGAAAATATTAAATTTCAAGTTTGGGGTTCCATTTGTTTGTGTTTTTTTAAGCTAGGAACAAAGAAAATTGTGGGGTTTAAATAGAAAATCTCTTTTATTTCTTATTTTTTCAGTTTGGGGTGTATTTAAGGGTAGTTTGGGAAGATAGTTGAGTTTTCTTATTAATTTTGAAAATTTAAATTAAAAGATGGGGTGAACTTAGAACATGGGGTGAACTAAGAGAAGTGTGGGGGTTTAAATAGAAAATCTCTAGAAAATAGGGCCTCTGGGTTGGGGTGGTTCGGGATAGAGGGAGAGAGAAGGTGAAATTTTCTTATTATTTTATTTTTTAGTTTTAAATACTTTAAATTTAAAAACAAATAGTTAACCAAAGTTATAGGTTTGGATAGATGTCAAGTCATGAGTTGGGTGGTGAATGTACACATATAGTTAAAGTCCCCATATTATACATGAGAGGAATCTCTAAAAACTACTTCATTAACTCTCTTTACATGATGAGGGGTAAATATGTTACAATTTTTTCTTAAAAAATGAAGGAGGAAATTCACTCAAAAAATATAAAATTCCTATAATGGATAGCCAGCAAGCATATTTACAATTTTTACATACTCAACCATGAGAGGTCAAGAAGAAGCCAGCAAGTTTTGTCTACTTGAAATTCTTGCCTTCGAAGGTCTGCCCAAACTGCCAATTGTTGGGGGCAACATGCCATGAGGTTGAGTATCTTCCATCGCTCCCTCTGACTCGGAAGGTCAACGACTCACCGACCATCTTGGCGTCCGTCTCCCACTTCTGACCCCACAGCCGCTTCATTGCTGTCCATTTGAGGTTCTTGTTGCCCTTCACTTGCAAGCCCGTCACTTCCCCAGCTCCTCCCACATTCCACACCAGCACTTGGTTGAAATATGGGTTCCCAGTTATTGTGAACTTTATACCTCCTTTCTTTAGGCATGGAACCCTGCAAATTATTCAAATCATTATATTTACATTAAACCCTAATTAACTTTGATTCAAAACATTCTATTATCTTGACATTGCCATTACTTTCTGTCTCATTTCATACGTGAGAGTTGGATTATAAAGGATTTTCAGTTGGAATAAAAGATATGGGTCTTATTTGTAGTAGTTCTATTTACACCCCAAAATCTCATAACCGACCTTGATATTTTTCATGCTTCTATATCTCAACATTCCCATTAATTTTTCCATCCTTTTTTTGTTTTGATAAATTTTTCCATGGTTTTAAGGCCACGATCATATTCATTCTCCTCCCACAATTTTTTTTTTCTTCATATTTTTATTTAACAAGGAGGAGTAGTTAAAAAAGTATGTAATTACATTTACCTGCGGTACATGACAGGAACAATGCCAGCCTTGTACTCGGCAATTTTGGCGAAGGCAGGCCTGGCTATGTCAAAATGCTCGCGCGGAGGATTGCACCATCCTCCATTGTCACTTGCTTGGTTCCAGTTTGGCGGGCAATTGTTGGTACCGGTGACCATGAGAGTTGGCTGCCCTGGCTTGCACCATTTAGGGTCGTCCACGCATTTTATCTCGTAGCATGACCCGCATCCCTGCCCTTTGTTGAACAATGCCTCGCTCAATGCTGCTGTTTCTAGGCCATATCCTTCTTTTACCACGTCCTCGTATCCACAAGCTCCCCCTGCATTATTCATCAAAATTTTAGTCTTGATAATGATTTGATTGTTGGAGAACAAGTAGTATATCCTAATTGAGATCATACTGGTATGGAATTTGGTGTGTTACACTAAGAAATTAGAGTAT